GGGGGCCACAGGGAGCTGATGCCCTCAAAACTGCGTGTCCCGACCTGGAGCGGGTAGTGAGGAGTTTTATAGTAATGGTTCAAAGAGGGCGCCATCAGCTCATGGACATTCTGATTGGTTGATGGCGAGGTAAGTGGGAGTCAGCATCATCAACCTTCTGGTTCCGACCGGTCTGGGGTTTGCGTGCTTGTGGGCACCATACCCTTCATTTCTCCCACTTGGTGGGGGTTTCAGCCAGCTTCTGTTATTTAGATTCTTTTCCATGTCGACTTCACTGATGAAAGTTTGCTACCCAAATTTTTAATGGTACGGAAAGTATGAAGCAGTAATGGGTGTAGTGTGGGTGACTGTTTTAGATGCATATTCTAAATGGGATAATTTCATTTGCTATAGTAATATAGCTATAATTCAGAGAAGCTCTAAATCAAAATTCCCTACTTTTGGCAAACACCAGGTTGTGCTGGTTAGCTGTAATAGTAGAGTAGTCCCCCCTAAAGTCCCCAAGAGTCAAATACAGTAGAGTATGTCCTTTCACCTCAAAATGAACCATCAAGTTGGGTTGCAACATAGGCCAGAGGTTGGGTTCACTCACTTGCTAAAACCTAGTCTCCCTTTCAGTCTCAAGGTAAGTTTCAGATTTTGTGCTAAGGGCCATGGGGTGGGGTGCTGCAGGGCTTAGAGTCAAGGCCAAGTGATAAACCTAGTGAGACCAGTCTTGCTTTCCATCTCGCTACTCTGCACAGTTTTCATCTTGACTCTTGCCAGTTAGACCAGTAACCCAATTTTTATGACACAGCCCAACCAGAGGAAAAAATGCCTCTTAGTTTAGAGAAACTTGATTACGGTTTCTGGAATATTTAAAAAAATGAGGCAGCATTGTACATTTGTTGTAGACTGATTATTTGATTTAAAAAGAAACCTGTAGCACTGTACAAACGACATCAAACTGGAATAGCCTGAATTCTGTTGACAAGCAAACGTGGCTCGTCTAGCATTAAAGCTTTGACTCAATCAGAACTTCCAATAACATGAAAGCTGGGCCGTGTGTTTTTAACACGTCTGTTAGCGTATGCAAAGAACTTGGGGATTGTTTTATTCATTTTTTTATGGTGAAAAACTTCTCAAAGCAAAGGTTAGGATTTTCAGTGTGTTTTATAATTTGAAGAAAACCGTCTTAAATTTTAATGTCAATAGAAAGATAAAATTTGGATTTTACTTAGAGGAACACCTTTCATTTTAAAAATCATAATTTGCTTCATGCCAAGAATAAGAATCCTTTACACGTACATGATAGTTTTATACAGCAAGTTTTTAAAAATAATTTACATTAAATGGCAAGTTACATGAAATTCTGGCCTATTTCAGATATTCAGAGCATACATTTTCTTTTTAGGAGATTTGTCTTCAAATAGTGAGATAGAACCACTAACGCTTCTAATCTGCAAGCAATATCAAGAAAGCTATGTAAAATAAATATATAGGTACAATGTCAGTACAAACCTAGTAAAATAAATAAACACCAACAATCTACTTTCGCTTTAAAAACATGGTTAAGTTTCTTGTTAAGATGTCACAATTCAGTAGATATCATACGTTATTCTAACTTCATTTTATGGAAACCAAATGTCTGTGAATATATAAGCAATAAATGTAAAAAAACCCAACATATTCTGTAGCTAAAAAGAAATACTACAGAATTCACAATGGAACACAATATAGAAACTAAATTGAATTACTTTTTAATGAATCTTATAGGACATATTTACACTTGCAATGCCCTAAATCTTCCAATTCTCAGCCATAAAATGTATGACTAAACTAGCCTGCTTGTTTTCATACCTCTGCATCTTGTTCCCAGTTTTCTAAGTCAGGTCAGCAAACTATGGCCCTTGGGCCAAATCCAGCCTGCCACCTGGTTTCGTATGGCTCTTGAAGTAAGAATAGTTTTTACATTTTTAAATGATTTTTAAAAATCAAAAGAGGAAATTTATTAAATGGGAAAATTATATGAAATTACAATTTCGGTGTCTTTATATAGTTTTCTTGGATCACAGCCACATTCATTCACGTATGTATTGTCTATGGCTGCTTTTGCACTACAGCTGAGTTGAGTCATTGCAGTGGAGACCATATGGCCCATAAGGCCTAAAATAGTTACTGTCTAGCCCTTTACAAAGTTTGTTGACCCTTGTTCTAAGTCAATTATTGCAAGGTTAGCAATGGTTTTTCCAACTGTTGACACATGTAAAATGGCAGTCTGCTGGGCTGCTTTGCTGCGTCAGGAAACTGGTTCGTAGCTAGCCCTGTGCCATTTCGCTTGACCTCAGTGTGGACCTCATATCGCAAGTTCAGAAATCATCACTTTCCAGTTTAAGTCTAATGAAAATAAGGCAGTTATATTTGTTTCCATCATGTTCATTCTTGACTTTATAACTTCTTGCCCAAAGATCTTCACCTGTAAAATTGTATACATAGGCTTGTTAATCTCTTTAAAGTGAAGGAGCAGAAATGTTCATAGTGTAGCAAGGTTTAAGGTTGTTCAACCAACAGAAACCCAAGCTCTGGTGACTGGGTTTGGGGGAGAGACTATTTCCTATAAACTCACAGTGGTAGAACATGATGTTCCTGGGAGGTGGAACATTAGGCTATTTCTGCCCTGGAACATCACATTCTTTAGAAAGATTTTTTTTTTTAAACCATAATTAAACTGTTCAGCTTTAAAAAAAAAAAAAAAAGGTGGACTTCTGTCAACTAGTTGAGTAAGTTAATTATTTGTTTAGAAATTCTTAGATTATTATTAGGAGGTAACTTGAAACATTAGACATGAAATATATCACTCAGAAAGCAATAAAAATATTAAACTTTTTTCTTACGAGCATATACAGAAAGGCCCTTCTTTTTTCACAAATGCTTTCTTCGAAACACCATTTGTAAAATTAATAACATGGGATCTATATTCCCATAGATGCACCAGTGGCTATTACTATTATATCAATGGCTATTTTTATTTTATTTTTTAATTAAAAAATATTTATTTATCTATTTATTTGTCTGCGCTGGGTCTTAGTTGCAGCACAGGGATCTTTGTTGCCGTGTGCAGGATCTTCAGTTGCAGTATGCGGGATCTTTTAGTTGCGGCATTCATTTCTTAGTTGCGGCATGCAGGATCTAGTTCCCTGACCAGGTATCGAACCTGGGCCCCCTGCATTGGGAGTGTGGAGTCTTAGCCACTGGACCACCAGGGAAGTCCCTCAGTGGCTATTTTTAAAGAACTTCCCCAAGTTTAGTGAAAGATGTGAGGTCAATTGACTGATTCTGAATATCTGCTTACTATAGGAAAATTGAGTCCAAAGGCAATTGTCTAAATCACCACCACCCTCCCTACTCTCCTAAAATATAAGCAACTAGTAATGCTTATTATAGCAAGCACATTATTTTAAAGTCAGATTTCTAGTGGAGTTGTATTCTTACGTACTTATTAATCTTCTGGCACACTAAGGGCTCTTTATGTGCAGAGTGTAATTTCACTCTGTCATTACGGAGGTTATAATAGAGAGGTGTGCATAACATTATCACACCTGTGATTTATTTGATGCTAAGTTCTTGATATGGAAAACAATATTTGAAATTTTGATCGCTGTCTTTATTGTGTGCTCACACACCCACTACCACTGTGAGTCACTTTCCAAAAGTTGGAGAGGCTTAGCATGGTACTTAGTCCTAAAGCTCACTGGGCTTTCGGAGACACTGCCTGTCTCGGTGACACTGTGGCAGGAAAGGAAGTGAGTCTGAACTTTAAAAATGGGATACCAGAGGTACCGCAACAGAAAATGGGCGCTGAGCCTTCTCAGAGTCTGGAACAGCCCGGGGCTTCACTATTCTCTGCATATTCACTATTATCTGATGCTATGTGATGTGGATTGCTGCCGTAGAGGCAAGATTTCTTCCTGATGAGTGTTTGCATACAGAACCTAAAAAGCCCTGACCCAAGATAATGGGATGTGCAGAAGTTCTGGAGGAGGCAGTTTCCTGTATTTGGCCTCGTCTGTTTTGAAAGATCTTTCTTTGTAAGTGTATACGGGGCACCAATTGTTTTAGGAGTTGCTCCTTAAACATTGGCTCAATGTATCAGCCTTCTTTTGGGCTGTTATAAATCAAATTTGGCCCTGTCAAGAGATATTAATACATTGTTTAATTATGAGCTTATACAAATATCTGATTGTGATGAAGACAGATGATGCAGCTCTGTAGTATAAGCAACAATGCCTTCACTGTGCAGGTGGTCTCTTGAGAATTTTAAATCTTAGAACTATAATGGAACAGGTGAAAGATGGGCGTTAATAATCCCTTGGGTTCATTAAGAAACTAAGTGAAAAGAAGAAATCTATGTTTGGTTTCCTCACATGCTTTTTCTTTTTTTTAAATTCAGGTTCCATATAAATAGTCTGTTTTAAGATAGAATGAAATTTACTCTGTATGTGAATACCAAGCAGTAAGCTGGCAACCAAAGGCATGATTTACTGCAGGCTGTTACGTCATTCTGCTTTCTTTTTAATCATTACATCCTGGATGCCAGATTTTAATTTTTTAATTGAGGCAGAAGAAGTTGAGGTTGTCGAGAGTAAATCGGACCAAAATTAGAAGAACATCAAACTAGAAATCCAAAGGAATAAAAGCTGAATGGCCCATAGCAGCCCTTCAAGAATGTTCATATGAGTTACCAGTAATTAAGACAGTTATGTGTCTGATGAAATAAGGCTGTTGTAGTTTGGGCAGGTTTGTTGTCCTCCTGGGGCCTTTAGTTAATCTACAAAATGAGGAGATCTAAAGTTATCAGTGCTGAAGTGATGTGTATCTTCAGAGCCTTTTCCTGTAGGGTACCATTCCTACCTGCCTCAGGGACATCCTCCTCTTGGAAAAGACAAACGACAGTGTACAGACTGTCTTACAAAGTAGTGTAAGTTGACCCCCCGTTTCAGAACAGTGCAGTGACTCAGAATACCTGGGTAAAACGTGCTACCCTTGCTCACTGTCGATAGTCTATCGTGTCACTGGAGGACAAGCCGCCCACAGGTTTCTCCTCCTTGTTTTGGACATTTTCTGAGGCCAAGACCTGAGAAGGTGATGTGAGTCCTCGGGGCTGTTTAGTCGACTTGGTGAGCTTCTTGAGTTCGCTTGCAAAAGAGATGCCTTTTCTTTTGTCTTCTCGGGATGCCTGTGGAAAACGAGAATCTTCCATTGGTATTAGGTTAAAGCCAGGGTCCCCAATCACATGACACTATCAGAAAAAGCCCTTTCTTGCTCCCTTTCTAGTAAGTAGAGCTTTGGAAAGCAGGGCTGAGGGACTCCCCTCTCAGGACTGCATAAGCTCAGAGGGGAAGACATTTCTTTCCACACAGTGAAAACAGAGCCAAACATTCTTCCGACTAATTTCCTTGACTCGGGAACTTTCTCCTAGATTTCACTAGCTCCTGAATTTGATTACACTGTAGTTATGAATATCAAATAATTTGTGAAGAGAGAAAAATAACCTTGCACTTTACCTGCACTTGTTCCTTTAGCTTAAGGATGAATTTTCCTGCACCTTTCCACCGGCTTTGAGCTTGAAAAACACACTCCTGATCCAAAAGGACACGCTGGGAGGACTTTGGGGTAGAAGACTTCCTGTTGGCAGTGTCTTTCACCACCTCCTCCAAAAGCACATAATCACCTGGGTTCGGGTTGCTCAAGATGCTATAGGAATATTTGGCTTTGCATAAGGTCTGAAAGACAAGTTATGATCAACTGAATAAAGACACACTATCTCCCAACACCTGCTTCACTGTAGATGAGACTTTGAGGTGGGGAAATATCAGACTTTGAGAGATGGAGGGGGTCTTTCAGACCATGTCATCCCACTTCTCATTATACATTGTCATAGTTGTAGCTAGCTGATAGGAACTTTCCCACATTGCCTCATTTAGCTTCACACCCGTCCATGATTTAGGTGTTACTGCCCATTTTTCAGACAAGGAAGTTTACGCATACAGAGGTCAGGCAGATTCCAGTGGATGCACAGCTAGTAAGTAACAGAAAAAGGACTTGAACTGGATTTTCTGCATCCACCAAAGCTGGTAGAGATGGAAGGTCATGCAGACAGTGAGGGACAGAATCTTGACCCTCGGGAGCCTCTCTGTCCCACGAGGCTCCCTCTTCATCTCAGAGTCTTGGAGGTTAGAACTTACCTGGTCTCACTTCTCATTTAGCACAAGATTATCTTTCATTTATGCATTTATTCACTCATCACATGTTTAGTGAGGGCTTACTATGTCCCAGATACTGTATATAGTTTGGGGAGTTCAAGGTCTATTAAAGAGGCTAATATTAACCAAACTATCATGCAATAAGAATAGCAAATAGCACTTAAGTAGTGTTTGCCATGTGCTAGGTGTTGTAATAGGCGAATGTGCTTTACATATATTTACTTAATCTTCACAATAACTCTAGAAGGAAAGTGCTAATGTACTGTGTCCATGTTATCTGCATGGTAGCTTAGCACATGGTGTTGTGCTGGAGTCCACTGGAATCAGGTGTGGTGGGAGGATTTACAAGACAGAACTGGCAAATTGCTACAAAAACAGGGCCTTTTTTTTTTTTTTTTTTTTTTTTGAAGAGAGCCAGTTTACCAGCACACCAGTGTAACTAAGGCACAGATGGTTCAATAACTTGTCCAAGCTCTCAGAGCTAGTAAGAAGTAGAGCTGGGATTTGCACCTGGAGCAATCTGATCTAGAGTCTGTTAACTTATGCTATCTTCTCAGGTGAGTGTTTAATAAACGCAAACCATAACAGGGCTTCAAAAGAAGGAAACAGTTCTCTGAAGCCATGTACACAGAGAAGCATGACCAGAGGAGGGGAGAGGGTCAGAGGAGGCCTCCTGCATGTCCTCTGAAGGATCCCTGAGAGATGGCCATTAAGTATTGGCTTAGGCCTTTCTGGGATGATGACGTTCCCGCTCTGCAGAGCCACCTTCTAGATCCATTATCGAGGCTTCAGAGAGAGCCTGACGCAGTAGATACTGGGCAAGTATCGTTGAAGGAATCAGTATTTCCCAGCCTTAAGAGGCACACTCTCCCTTGTCAGGTCCCCTTTGTTCTAGAACCTCATTCACAAAGGGAGCTGAAATCTGATTTGTCCCAATAGTCGACACTGAGGACAGGACTGAGGTGAGGAAGGGGAGGCCTTCACCTGCTGAATGACGTCCTGCGCAGTGCTGGCGCGGGGCGCCTTGATGACCGTTCGCGGTTGCTCTGGAGAAACGTCGTGCACTTGGACAAAGAAACGCTCCTCCTCTGAGCTCAGGATCATCTCCTTGTCGTCTTGAACGATGCTCTTCTCTTCCAGGTTCTATGTTAAAAAAGAAGAAAAGTCTGAGTAGATGGTGAGATGATGTAGAATAAGGAAAGAAAAGCCTAGCAAAAATTTGACATGGATCCTGGTAACGTGGAAACAACTTCTTAGCTTTATATTCCATACGCTAGTTACTATTTCATAAACTATTCTAAAAGGATATACGTCTCTTCTTAGAGGAGGAAAGTACTGTAAGTTTCCGCTGATGTTGACACGCTGATAAGGTTTGGTCCAGAACAAGCCAGCAAGTAGATCTGCTCCTATTAGCTGTGGATTTTGAGTCCAAATCAGCTAGAGATAAATTTGTAAAAAGACAATATGCCATTTTGCCAATTACTAAACGCCAAATAAGAACACAATAAATACATTTAAGAGAAATCTACCCATTTCCTCACAGACCTTGAGCACTTAACAAATGCTAGACATCTGAAACGTGAAACATGCAAAATCGGCATTCAGGCAGGCTGGATGAACAAAACCCAAGTGGAAAGGCTAAAACAATGACTGGAAGTAAGTCACACAGAAAGGAATATCGACAAAATTCTCAATAATTATGGGAATTGGTCATCAGGTTAGACGGCTTTTGGTGGGTTGGCTTTCAGTGAATTTTACATATATAATTATATATTACATACACAGATATATCTATAGACATATGTATCTTTTAAAAAATTTTCAAGCGGTAAGGAAATATATCAATAAAAAGGCAAACTTCCCATTTCTACCTTTTTTTTTTCTCTTCCACCTCTCCCATCTCACTCTCCGCAAAAAACCCACTGTTATTAGGTTGCATATCCTTTTAACCATCTGCTATGGATATACAAATGTATTTTTGTATATGTGAATAAATATATACAAAGAAACCCCAGAATTATGTGAATTTAGATATAATGTGATCGTCAAATGGCCCCTGTTCTCTGTTAGCCCCATTCTCAAATGAGGTCATGTAAAGCTGTCTTCCACAAGGGGGAGGCAAGGCAAGTGAGCAGTAGGGAACCCCATCTCAGGAAGTGAGGATGTGGCAGGAAGGCCCTCCAGTCCCCAGCATTCTAGCTTAATCTCAGATCAGGCCACAGAAATGGTGCTACCTAACCAGAAGACTCCAAGAATCACTGCCATTGTCCTGGAAAGTCCAGCCAGCCCCAGGACCTAGAATAGTCCCCACTGATTTTAAAGTCAAAATGGGCAGCTGTCACCAGGTGGCGCCAAACTGTAGCCAGGACCAGAAAGGACTGGCTCCTGGGGCTTCTCACCAACCAGGCGCACAGCCTCACCCAATCATTTCATTAATCTTGCAGTCGTGGTCCCTAGAATTTACACAACTGAACTGTTTTGACCCCATTCATCATACTATGCGTGCGGGGGAGAGAGCCATTGTCTATTTTTATTACATAAAATGAGACTGTACTCTAGTACCTATGTTATTCTACAACTCCTTTTTTCTCTCCACTTAAAAGACTGTGAGGGCTTCCCTGGTGGCGCAGTGGTTGAGAATCTGCCTGTCAGTGCAGGGGACACGGGTTCGAGCCCTGGTCTGGGAAGATCCCACATGCCGTGGAGCAACTGAGCCCGTGAGCCACAATTAGTGAGCCTGCGCGTCTGGAGCCTGTGCTCTGCAACAAGAGAGACCGCGATAGTGAGGGGCCTAGGCACCGCGATGAAGAGTGGCCCCTGCTCGCCGCAACTAGAGAAAGCCCTCGCACAGAAACGAAGACCCAACACAGCCATAAATAAATAAACAAATAAATAAATAAATAAAAGAAATAAGAATAAATAAGATTATTAAAAAAGAAAAGACTGTGATCATCATTTCATGTCAGTTCCTAAACATTTTGCATAATGTCATTGCATTGATTATAATAATATATTTAACCAATCGGAGAGTGGGGTTGGGTGCTAATTCACATGACATAATTTATAATCTCAGCGTTCTGAAAGGTAGGATGTAAGTAAGCAAGACAAAAAACAAAAAAGTTCTAAGTTGCCACATAAAATATCCCAGTGACCATGCACTGGGAATTACTTCTAAGAGCACTCCTTAGAGCCTTACTCAGAGCTTATTAATGTTTAAGCCGTTTTCAGACACATTAGAAGCCACAGATTATGACCATAACAATAACCTTCATTTGCGTATTCCTTTGTAGTCTACTAAGCATTTCTCTACGTATTGTCAACATGTTTGGCATGAGTCTCATGATAATCTTTTTGAGTCAAGCAGGGTAGTTCCTCTCATAGATTTTACAAATTGGGGCATAGAGGTTTACAGAATTCAGATGAGCCATTGAAGGTCATCCATCTAATTTGTGTCAGAGCCAGGTTTGTCTGATTACAAATCCAGCAGGTGTCAGAGGAGAGCATATTGACCATAGGAAGATACCTAACAGCTTGAGAGCCCAGAAGACAAGAAAATCATACAAGGCAGACAGGCAAGATCAGAGGTAACACACTGCAGCTTCATGGGCAAACTGCTTATGTCTCTTACTAGTTCCACAAAGTAACTAAATGGAAATACTTATAGCCCAAATCTATCAGCTATGCCAGTGTCCGCTTGCATTCAATGCACACTGAATTCATTTCGTCAATCAGTAAATTTGTACTATGTGTTGCTGTGCAGCCGGTAAGCCTAGATACATGAAATATGATGTCATCTTTTGAGATGTACTTCAGTCATTTCGAAACTCCCCTCCCAACAAAGGCATATAAAGGAGAACTTGCTGTATTGTACTCATCAGAAAATGCTTCCCCTCTAATTTCTCTTCCTTTTTGCAAAATGCTTCTGTTCCACCAGCCTTTATTAAACATTCGTTCCCTATAGACGTCTCTACTGCCTGCTGTCATATACATTTTTTTTTTTTTTTTTTTGCGGTACGCGGGCCTCTCACCGTTGTGGCCTCTCCTGTCGCGGAGCACAGGCTCCGGAGGTGCAGGCTCAGCGGCCATGGCTCACGGGCCCAGCCGCTCCGCGGCATGTGGGATCCTCCCGGACCGGGGCACGAACCCGTGTCCCCTGCATCGGCAGGCGGACTCTCAACCACAGCGCCACCAGGGAAGCCCTGTCATATACATTTTAAGTTGCATATGGGGCACCCCTTACTCCTGGTCCTTCCAACCATGTGATGAAGTTCCACGCAACACTCAGCAGGCTGCCCAGGTTTCCTCCTGCTCACCACCTCCCACGGTGCGTGTGGGAGAAGCCACGGAGACTGATGCAACTCCAGCCTGGCCAGCACAGGGTAGTGGAAAGAACACTGACCTGGAAGCTGTAAGACTTGAGTGCTGTCTCCTTCTCACCCTGGTGTGATCTAACTTCTCTGAACCTGTTTTCTTTGTGTAGAATGGTTTTCCATTACATCATGAGATCATTCAAACTAGTGGGTGCTTGAGAGCGTTAAATGCTGTAAGTCATGATGCAAAGATATGGTTTAACAAACTCACTTCTTCACTGAAATCGTCATTTCTAGGATACTTTTTTACATGTGACAAAGACAATTAGAAATAGGAAAAAAATTTAAAGAGAAATTAAAGATGGCTTCAAAAATCCAGCTAAGCCCTCTGTTTTCTCATAAAGCTATTATTATTAGAATTGCTTTTCCTCCGCCTTAGTAATTTGTATGTCTGATGGGGAGAGGACGCTAGGGAGACAAGTACGTTTCTTTGCTTAAAGCAAGTGTCCTTTTATCATCTAAGGCAATGTTAGGAGGGAAGGCAGTGGCTCTGGTTCCCAGAGGAGATGCTGGAGTTCTGTGGATGCTGCAGGCCACGTTCATAATTAGGTAGAGAGTGAAAAAGTAACACGTGATGCTGAAAATGGGCTCCTTATCATCTCTACTGTGTCCCAGCAAGCATGGACCAGCAATGTGCCTTTTACCAGCCCAGCTCTATTACATGCCCCAAAGAGGCAGATCATGTGCCTAGAACAGGGCTTGGCACATTTCAGGTGCTCAATAAATATTTGTTTAATTGAATTGTTGAATTGATTCAACTGCTTCATTATCGACTTATCATGAGGTACGATTGTGTAATGATCTTGTATGCCATTTTTTAAAAATCGAAGTAAGTTAGTGGGCTCCTATCAATTTATTAAAAAAAAAATGTGTTCCATCAGCAAACCCCATCAGGAGCCCAAGAATCTGGAGTTGACAGGCAGTCGTATTGTTTCTGTTATGAGAATGATCATGGGAATATTGTTACAAATTCGGACCAAAGCTGAGAGGTTATTCTTACTTTGTGTAAAATTATGGAATATTTTCAAAGAAATACTGTTATTTCACGTATTAGCACAAAACATTTTGTTAGCTAAAACTTGAACAGGCAACAAACCCCCAAACGCAAAATGCCTACAGGCCTTCCATTACACACTACTGTGACCCTCATAACCACGTCTTCACATAAACAGATAAAACACTGGACGCACCACTGATGACATGCTTAAGGAATCCTTCAGTTCTTTCTCCCTTTGTTTCCTAAGGGATGATTTTTAGACCGAATTTCTGTAACTTAGAGTTAACATTCTGAATATGTGCAGAAGAATAAAATCAATTCTCCACACTTACTTAAGAAGACTATAAAGCAAGCTGCAATGATAAGAAATTCTGAATTTGAGGCAGGCGGCTAGTGGTGAGGAGGTGAGTTACATATGAGCTGCTACAATGTAGGCTGCCCCAGGACACACTTACTTCCTGCTGGGTTTTTAAGACAATCCTGCCAACATATCCCTCTTCTGGAAACCAGCTGCTTAAAATCTGCATGATCTCTTCTTCTGGACCAATGGCTCTCTGGAACGGTTGTTTCCTACATTCATTCTTTTCTTTAGATACAAAATATTTTTCTTCCATTAAAAAATAGTCTGTGGCAATAGGTTTGGTGTCTTGATCAATGGTCAGACTCTAAAGAAAAAACAAAGGCAAATTTAGGCACACCTCTGAAGAGTGGGCAAAAGAACAAGTCTATTTTCATGGGGTTCGGATAGGTTTGATGTGCAATTTATAAGTGAAACCTACCCTGCACTGTTGCATAATTCTTTTAGGAAGATCTAAGAGTTCTCTTACGTCCAAAAAGGATTGTTTATGTTCATTCTGGGCAACGACACAATTTATTCATAATCCCCAGACAGTATGACTATTTTTCCCACTGCTGGAATGAGAGCTCTTACTGAATTAAAAACTTTAGGTTTTTCAATCCATGAACTTAGCTCTTTGTAATCTTGCAACACAGGATGGAGGGCAAAGAACCTAGTCCAGCTTTTACCAAGATAATCTCCCATTCTCCTTTCGGAAATACTCAATCATCTGCTAATCTCATCTGATCTAAGTTCCTGGGAATTCCCCTTTCAAGAAACTTTTGGCTGCGTTGGGTCTTTTGGCTGCATTGCTGCGCGCAGGCTTTCTCTAGTTGCGAGCGGGGGCTACTCTTCGTTGCGGTGCGTGGGCTTCTCACTGTAGTGGCTTCTCTCGTTGCGGAGCATGGGCTCTAGGCACGCGGGCTCAGTAGTTGCTCTGCAGCATGTGGGATCTTCCCGGACCAGGGCTCGAACCTGTGCCCCCTGCATTGGCAGGTGGATTCTTAACCACTGTGCCACCAGGGAAGTCCAGAGTCACAACCTCTTAATTTTGTTTCATTTTGTTTCATTTTGAGGCACTGCTTGATTGTAAAGCATAATCCAGACACAGTAGGAGAACTTAGTAAACACTAGCCATTATGATAGTTTCTCTTACTGATGTTCTCTTTCGCACTTTTTTCTATTGTCCAGGTTACCGACAGAGGCGAAACTTGAAGTGAGTGACCAGAGAAGGATGCCACCATCCGGCTTAGATTGAGCAAACATTCTTCTCTTCAGGCATCCCCCCCACCGGCCCCCAACAATGATGCAAGGACCAGAGTCAGCACTTGGCACTGCTGCATCTCACTTGGAGAAGCAGAATGAACTGGGGATGGGGTGGGGGAGCAGAAGATTCTCAGGAAGACTCTGCTCCCCTTACCCCAGCCCTCGGTCTATGGTCGATGCTGGGCTGTGGATTGTGTGGGGCAAGGCAGCTACTACTATAGCAATAATTCAGGGCACAAAGCTTCCAGGAGCAGGTCAGTCGACACTGTTAGCTCCATGATAGGGCCAGCGTCACTCCCTCCCCAGTCCTGCTTTATAGCCCTGTGATTACTCACGTAGGGTGACAGTAATATGCTACTTTTTATGGGTAGTCCGTGGAAATGTTTCCTTACTTTACATCATCGTATTTTATAACGTCTCCAAAACCCCAACAGTGCTTTGTGATAGTAGACACCGAAGTTCATGGACGGACTGATTTAAAAAACAAAGCCCCCCCAAACCACTTGGTAGTAGCTTCTGTTTGATAATCCATGAAATCTGACACGAGCTGCTTTCTCTGACTTTAAGTCCGTTGTAAAATGTTGGGTAAGATGTTAACCTGTGCATAGAGATTCCCCTCAAAGGAGAACTGTTTATTAACTACAGCTTCAGTGAACTTACTTGTTGGAGAAGCTGCTTTGCCTTGGTGCCTCCATTTATGGAGAAAACAGCAAAGGGCTCTGGACCTGGGACCCCATGTACTGTGACTCTGTGAATCTGCAAACATTTTCTTTCTTCTGTATTAAACATCTGTCAAGGAAGATCACATGGTTTCTCATTCATTTACATTCTCATATTGTTTCTAGGCTTCACCAATACAGAAGTGCTAGTTCTTAGAAGTACGTATAGGGACACGTAAATGCAAAACAAGAGCATCCTTTTATAACCAGACGCATCTTTTTGTGGTTCAGTAGGCAATGGTGCATCTTGCTTAATAGTCTAGTAAGAATATTTAGCAGCATACCACCAAAATATTAATTTATTTTAAATAAGAGTGTCTCTTTCCATCATAATTAGGGGACTGATATTATCTGAAATGTGTACCAGTCCTTACTTATGAACAGACATTCAACAGTGTCTGTCGAGTTCCATTTCTCTTCAGGGCACTGGGCCAGCATTTTGGATGGTAAAGATGATAAATAAAATATGCTGGCCTTAAGGAGCTTGCTGTCCAGGCATACAAATAATTATGATACAAAACGTATTTCTGTTAGGAGGAGTTGGGGAGGTGTATAACTCGCAAGTCTTTGAGCAGTTTGTATCTTAAGATATATTCATTCATTTAAAATACAAAATCATTTATGGAGGGCTGGCAGTGAATCAGACATTTTGCCTGCCCCTGGGGATTTAGGGAGAAATGGGACATTATCCCTGGCTTCAAGGGCTCCCGGTTGAATAGAACAGCTAGGAGAGAACGTGGACAATTATAAGAAGCATGGTAAGTTCCTTGGGAGCCCAGGTTTGGAGGAAATCAGAGAGCACCTCCAGAAAGTGGTTATCATCTGAAGGCCCAGTGTGAATTAGCGGATAAAGAGCGGGACAAGAACATCCCCAATATTGGTACAGCCTGTGTACAAAGCGTTAGAGGTGGCCTAAAGCAAGGCATTCTGGGAGCCTCAATGAATTCCGTGAGGTGATGGCGGGGAAAAGGCTGCCTAAGTGTTTTGTTTAGCATGCATTTTGTTTTTATTTGGTGTGGGGGAGGAGAGGTTGGCTGTTTTGCTATGCTTGTACAATGTGTTTTTATTATGTAATCAATTTTATTATGACATGATTTGCATACCATAAAATGCATGCATTTTAATTGTATGGCTTAGCCTGCACTATATTTTTAAAAAGTTGCAATAGTTGCCAACATTTATGCCAATCCAGATGTCCCGACAGTCTTGAAAACCAAAATATCTGGCAAAACTGCTTGGCAACAAGCAGCTGGAGCTGAGAGCAGGGTGACAGCTGTCCCTTTAAATGACCCATGAGCTCTCGGCTTTCCCAGAGTCTCTGCCCAGTCTACATACAAACGTTATCCCGAGAGCAACGGAGAGCCGAGCAAGGGTTTTTAACAGAAGAGCGACATGGTCAGATTTGAGTTTTAGATAGAAGTGTCTAAAAGGCCCTAAAGGAGGACATACAGAAGTGGTCAGACTCAGAGGGAGGGGGACCAGTTAGGAACCTACGGCCACAAGCCAGGTGAGAATGAACGAGGGCCGAGACGGTAGGGACAGATAGAGATGAATGGATTTGAAAGATACTAAGGAGACAGATTTATCAAGTCTTACATGGGGCAGTGAGAGAGGAGAAGTCCAGAATGATCTTCAGTTACTGTCTTGAGCAATGGAAGGTGATGACTTCCAAGGTCAAAGAACACATATTTACCAAGCATATACGCTGCTGCCTGGGATATACCTAGGATGGTATGGTGTGATATAATTGAAAATAAATATCTGGGCTTTGCTCATAGTTCCCGGCACACATCTTCTAAACCCTCAGAATCTCTGGAGTGACGAGAGTTTTCTGTGTGCTGATAAGATGACTTATGGCTGGAGGCCCCTAGATGGCTTCAGGATGGGAGCTGATCACCGGAAAGACCAAGTCATGATTAGATGGTTGGAACTTTCAGCCCCCGCTACTGCTGACTTCAGGGGAAGGGAAAGGAGCTGGGGGTTGAGTTAATCACTAATGGCCAATGACTTACTCAGTCATGCCTATGCGAGGAAACACCCATAAAACCCCCTATGAGATGGGATTCTGAGAGCTTCTGGGTTGTTGAACACATGGAGGTGCTGGGAGGGTGGTGTGTCCAGAGAAGGCATGGAGACTCTGCTCCCTCTCCCCTCATATCTCACCCTATGTATCTTTTCCATTGGCTAGTGCTGAGTTGTATCCTTGATAATAAACTGGTGATAGTAAGTAAAGCACTTTCCTGAGTCATTCAGGAGTCATTCTGTGAGTCTAGCAAACTACTGGCCCTAAGGAGGGGGTTGTGGGAACCTCTTGGATTTATAGCTGGTCAGTCAGGAGTACCAGTGACAGCCTGGGACTTGCAACTGGTATCTGAAGTGGGGACAGTGCTGTGGGACTGAGCCCTTAACTTGTGGGATCTGATGCTCAGCCCAGGTAGATAGTGTCGGAACTGAACTGAACTGTAGGACACCAAGCTGGCATCAGAGAGTTGGAGAAATAGTGTTGAGAAGACACCACACATTTGGTGTCAGAAGTGTTGTGAGGAAGAATGGTTCATTCATGGCATGTGTGGGATCTTCAACTCTAATAGGTATTGAGGGCAACCAACCCAGAAGTGGACACTAAGCTCTGCCTTGCCTTTCTGAAAGCATCTAATTCTTGCTCTTAGGTACCAGGCAGCCCCGTCCCTGCTTCCCAGTCCTCTGCACCAGGCAGAGGCAATACCTCCCCCTACTTTGGCCAAAGTGCTGTGCTCAACTTCGATCACTCGTTGAAAGGAAAAGGAGGGGAACTTAAGAAAACAAGGTGAGGGACAGAGAAAGAGAAGAAAC